AATATGTTACGGTAAAAGTGCATATTTTGGCAAATGTACACATTTCCCCGGTAAATGTGCACATTTGCCGCCTAAATTGGAGAATGTGAGTTCAACTCACATTTTTCATTTGAAATCAGGTAAATGTGCATTGAACTCCATTTATCGTGCCGTTTGGGGAAATGTGACATGAAAATATAAAATAGTTTAGTGCGAATGCACGCGTGGAGTGGTTGCATGCGGGCTCGTATTTGGTACGTGCGCACTAGTATATGGCGCACATCACGCGAATTCGGCGCTTGCGCACTCATGTCTGTGCGTGAAATACGGTAGGCAGTTAGGCACATACAAATACTTTACGTTACAGATTTTGTGCTATTATAAATTAATAAAGTTATAAATAAATTATATAAATTAATAGAAGTATAGCAACGTATGAATATTATTTAGGTATTTGGATAAATAAAAATCGTGTAAGTTAAAACGATCATATAGTTTTACACAGTGTTGAGAATTATGTATTTTAATTATTAAATGACATTAAATATTTTGAACTATGTTTAGTCATAAGTAAATTTATTTGAATGAAGTGTAATCCTAAGTAACGGTAAATGATTCGAATATTTTGTACATCTGCAAGATGAGAAATTAACAGTATTCAAAATATAAAAATTGGCAACATTGTAATTAATTCAGTAAATCCATTTACTAATGTTACATTAATGTCACATTTTATGTTACAGATTTTGTGCAAGTGCTATATTATAAATTAACTAGCAAACCCGACAAACTTCGTTTCGCCCACCAGATGGTTTCGTGAGAAAGATCAAGTAATTTTTTGTTGTTTTATATTTGAAAAGGAAAAATTTGATTTTATATACAACAGTAATGAATTTATTTCGATTACAAAAATGAAGTGTTTTTTAGTTGAACTTCTCTAAGTAAATGAAAGTGAATCCGCAAATTATCCGTTTTATTGAAGTGCTCTTTGGTAAACCACATTTTTTGTTTTTTGGTCTGACGTTAACACAAACAAAGCGGATGGTTTTCCAACTCGTGAACAGGCAACGTATAACTGCCCATGTGAAAATAATGATTTTCTAAATAATCTATTTGCAATATATCCCGCAAACACTAAGCGATTGGCCTTGCGACTTGTTATTGCGATCGCAAGGCGAACTGGTAATTGCATCGTTTGAAATCAAATAGAAGACCAGTCGGAATCATTGGTGTGTCACCAAATCGCCAGCATTTTTGATTGAATGGTGAAATTCAGTGCGTGTACTCATTATTCTTTGCGGCAATAATTGCTCGTTGACTAACCAAGCATAATTCTGATAATTCTCACTAATATCATTACTCGAATTTTTAATTACGGTTAGTGAAAGTTCCAGCAGCTTGCATTAAGGCACGATGCCATGCACAACTAATTTTCTTAGCTATAAACCTTGCGGAGCCCGAGATCTTTCCAACGAATGCAAAATTGTCGAAATCGATTTGTGCGTTCTGGAGTTATATCGTCGGTAAGCAAAACCCGACTTATTTTTATGTATATGTAGATAATCTATTTGAAATTATTTAAAACAATTGTTGATTATTTTTATTGCTCAAATTTTTAATACTGTGTATGAAGTTCCAGCAATTTGCATTAGGGCACGATGCAAATTGTCGAAATCGGTTCGTGCGTTCTGTTATTTCGTCAGGAGAGAAAACCCGACTTTTTTTATATATATATATATAGAAGATGATATCCTATAGAATATTTCTATATTGGATGTTATTTAAGATACTTAGATAAATAAGATGATGTAAGTTAAAATGATCCTACAGTTATATACAGA